TTGATGAAAGCACTATAGCGGCTACAGATGAAGAGGTTAGCTACATGAAGACAGTTCCATATTCAAGTGCTGTTGGAAGTCTTATGTATGCGATGGTATGTACGAGACCGGATCTCGCTATGCAGTTAGTGTGGTAAGCAGGTTTATGGCTAATCCGGGTAAAGTTCACTGGGGAGCTGTAAACTGGATCTTGCAATATTTGAAATGTGCGTCTGATATTTGTCTGGTATATGATGATAAAGGCCATGGTGATGGTCTTGTTAGCTATGTAGACTCTGATTACGGGGGTGACTTGGTGAAACAAAGATCACTGACTTGCTTTATCTTCACTCTGTTTGGATATGTAGTTAGTTGGAAGTCTACTTTACAACCTACGGTTGCACTGTCGACGATTGAGGCAGAATACATGTCAATGACTGAAAGTATTAAGAAGGGTATCTGGTTACATAGTCTGGTGCAGAGTTTGGGTCTGAAGGTGGAGAAACCGGTGTTATTCTGTGATAATCAGAGTGCTTTGAGTTTGGCTAAAAATCTAGTGTATCATGAGAGAACCAAGCATATTGATGTAAGGTTGAATTTTATCCATGATGTTATGGAGGAAGACAAATTTTCTATTCAGAAAATAGCTACAGAACACAATCCAACTGATATGTTGACAAAGGCGCTACCGAATGAGAAGTTCGAGCACTACTTGAACTTGGTGAATATTCGCAGGAGGTAAAGTCCTCTCCGGGCATCTGGTAGGAATGAGACGACTGAGAGATATTGACGAACCTTTGGCGGTTGGAGAAACTCCAAGTCAAGGCGGAGATTGTTGAAACGTGACTTGGATTTAGCGGTCTACCCGACCCGAAATCAAAGCGAAAGGGTTGTTTCAATTGGCAGGGTTCCTTTTGGGCTTATCCTAATTAATAACAAATAGGCTTAGGGTTTAGGTGTTTTGGGGTGCTTATAAATAGATAGCTATGGTTCCTAGTCGACATAATTGTAAATCTCTGAATCAGTATAATAAAATCTCTATGGTTCCTGCCCGTGGACGTAGGTTGACACACCGTCATCTAACAACCTAAAATCTCTGTATTCTTTATTATTATTTTTTTTTTCTCGTTTTCTCATAACATGCTCGGATGATTGTTACGAGTTTGTAAGCTCTCTCATGTAAAGTATATAAGGACAACAATGCTACACATATTTTAAATGAATTATTGAATGAGGTTTACTTTAATCAGCTTAGTTGTGAAATAATAATAATAATAATAATAATAATAATAATAATAATAAATTTAATCGTTAAAAACATGAAAACAAAAAAAGAAGGATAAAAGGCATGTATATTCCTTCAATAGCAGCAACACAAGATTCCGTTCTAAAGTTGTAGGTTCCATGGTTACTTGGCTATATCAATTTATATTACAAATTACCTAAATCTATACAATGAATATATTAATTATGTATCAATTTAGTGACATGTAATGAAGGTGTTCTAAAGCCACAACTAAATAACCAAAACACATTTAAAGACATCATCTTTAAGCTTTTAGTAGTGATTAAAACTAAATTAAATGGAGTGGAAACAAAAATGTGAAAAAGTGAATATTGATGTTACATATTCTAAGACTTGTACTATTAAGGACACTTGTTGGAACTAAACACTTTCTTAATTTAAGATTAGACGTTCCTAAAATTAACATTCCATAAAATAAATATTTAGACTATTATTTCTGACATGATATATATTCATTTCGTTCTACTTTTTTTCGTCCACTATTTCTATTTTTGTTTATTCTATCTTATTTGTCCTTATGTCTACAATAAATTGGATACAAAAAGAGGACCAAAGGAAGTATAATTTTATCTTATAGGATTCAAGTCTTCGATTGAGTCAAATCAACATATATATATATATATAAAAGTATATTTTACAATATGTTATAATACAATATACAATACACGTTTCGTAGCACATGATATAATTTTATATACTATAATATATTATTTATTTCAGCATAATTAGTATTATACTGCGTAATACAATATATAAATTAAACAACATATATTTTTATATAATATAATATTATGTTATGCTATTTAAAAAATATACACTATCTACCTCTATTATATGTACTCATTGAGTCAAAATGAACTGATTTAACACAATCAACACCCTAATTACTGCTTCTTTCAAGATAGTTTCTATTTTTTATTTTATTTTATTTAATTTGTTATCCGAGGATGCATGCATGTATGTCCACTTCAGTTTACATTGCTTTGATTTTTGTAAAATTCTTGAAAACTTGTCACTCCTACTATTAGAACAATGAATTTATATTGGATTTTATTTTACCATCACAAAGTTCTTTCAATAATTTTATTAGTAAAAGATTTTCTTAAGGTGTGTTTGTCTAGGGGATCCCATTTTTCTTCCCAAAAATATCAAATCAAATTAAACACCTATTTTTTATTTTTTATATTATACTAAATTAATTTTCCATTCAAAATATTACATCGACTCCTATTTATATTACATCATACAACTATTCAAATTCAAAATTTTTACTATTCAAATCTCAACTCAAAATTCAAATCCCCAAACAAACACACCCTTAGTGACCCATTCAGAAATGAGTAATTATCAACTATGCTCCATTATTCCAGAATTAAATGATAGGTTTTAAATTGAGGTAGCAGTTCTTCTCTTGCATCATGTTATTTATCTTGTCGAGCAAATATTTTGTCGTATTATATATATATATATATATATATATACAGGCATAGGTTGAATTTAAGATGTATGTTGTTTTAAGTTATCAAGATGTCTTCAAATGAAACCATCGATTTGAAAGGATATATATACAAATAAATTATAGGTTTAAGTTAGATAGAACGATAACTTTCTTGCATCATATTGTTGATCATGTCGAGTAGGTATTAATTTTTTCGTATTTTTGCTTTTATTTTTACGTATAGTTGGGATCAAATTCGATGTAAGTTGTTCAAAATTTTCAAGTGTCTTCAATTGAATTTGTTGGTTTGGAATATAGGATATTAAAATGGATAAAACAATAATCGATTGTATCATATTGTTTATTAATACATCGAGTAGATATTTTTTCGTATTATATGTTAGCATTTTTTATTTTTTATATTTATCTAACGGTAAATTTTTTATTTGATTTTTACATGCGACTTAAGGTAAATTAGTATTTTAAAGATATATAATTTAATAAAGTAGTATCTTTTTATTTATTTATCTATTTATTATTATTATTATTATTTTATTCATAGTTTGAATCAAATTTAATGTAAGTTGTTCAAAATGATCAAGTGCCTTCAATCGAATCCACCAATTTCGAATAAGGATATCAATAAATTAAATGATATGTTTAAATTAGATAAAATGATAATTCTCTTGCATCATTTTGTTGATCATGTCGAGTAGGTATTTTGTCGTATGATCTATATATTTAATTTCATACATAAATTGGATAAAAATCGAAAGTTACTCAAAATGATCAAGTGTCGGTAATTGAATCTGTCCGTTTCAATCGATACAAATAAATGATAGGTTTCAAATGGATACAATAATCATTCTCTTGCATCATGTTGGGATGTTGAATAGGTATTTTGTCGTATTATATATTTTAATTTTTTTTTCGTGTAATTTTGATCACATTCGATGTAAGTTGTTTAATGCTAATATATCTTCGACCGAATCCGTGGATTTGAACGGATACAAATAAATGATAAACACGTGCGTAGAAATATTAATGAGTTAAAATCCGACACTTTAGAGGTACTCTTGCGCGCACGTGAAACGTTATGTGTTGCATTTAACATTCGATATGTTCCTTGATCATGATTTATTTCACATCGAAAACGACAAATTGAGCGACAACATATGAATCTTTGATCCAAACAAAAAGTTAAGATGTTGAGTTTATCATGACATGACAAAGATATTTTTTGAATGCATATAATTGAGAATCTGTAAAAACAATCTATTGTTGCACGGGGGTTTTCCATAATTTTTGCATCATGAACATTCAGGGGGATGGGTTTAATGACTTTTTTTCAAGATTTGAGCAAAATATAAAATTATTTGGGATAGACAATGTATTCAGTATATCACATTTTACAGGTTCGTTAATATATAATTTATACGTGTATATATATATATATATATACACATACCAAAGCCAATTATCAAAGAACGAAAAGGAATTTGAATACTATAAATCACTGGAAAATTCTAATTACTCAAAGAATAACCCCCTTGTTAAAATCCCCCCTAAATCTAATCTTATTAGCAATGGAAAAAATGATATTGATGAATATTTGATTTGGGTTTTCAAAAATTTGAAAATGGTTAGTAGCTTTTGTTCGATTGAGTAGAGTTAATAATAATTGCCAACTAATCTTCAACAAGTTAGGGTTTTGCCCTTTCTCACGAGACTCCAATTTTGTCTTAACTAAAAGGAATCTCACTGTGTCCTAGAGAGAGAGAGAGAGAGAGAAAGAGAGAGAGAGAGAGAGAGAGAGAGAGAGAGAGAGGGAAAAAGTGTGTGTGTGTGTGAGAGAGAGAGAGTGTGTGTGTGTATGGTTAGTGGAGCAAGCCCAGACAAAGAAGTGACAGATACATATAAAGCTTGCCCTAAGAAGATAAAGGCAAGAGAGAGAGAGAGAGAGAGAGAGAGAGAGAGAGAGAGAGAGAGAGAGAGGGGCCATTGTTTTGTTTGAAATCATAGTTGTCAGTGGGTGAGTCAGTGAGTTCACCCGCATCTTTTGTTTTCTGGTGCAGTGCACTGTTGCTCCCATGACCATTCTTCCTTCCCCAACCCCAACTATAAATTAAATCGTTTCTGCCTCTTTTCTTTCACTACCTCTTCATTATTACTACTCAGAAAACTGTTCTGGAGCGGAAGCAGTTTCTGCCTCTCTGTCAGTCTGAGTCTGTGTTTCTGCTCTAAACTCAAGCATAAACACAACCCTAGTTCATCATCATGGGGAAGCGAGTGAGAAAGGATGGAAAGAATGCCCTAACGAAGACCAAAGCTGCTGGAACCCTCAAGAAACAGTCTGATTCGGGCTCTGATACCACCCCATTGTTCCCTCCTCCTTCTCCTCCTGCTGCTGCTTCTAGCTACCTCCATCTCAGGAGCAGGCGAGTCCTCAGGAAGCCACCGCCAAGAATGGCTCAGCCTAAACAAATCAGCTACGTGCTTGCCCTTCCAGCACAATCACTGCCACCGCAAGGCCGAGAGAACACCATGGACGACTCCGATGACGACGACGAGAACACTATGGCCACTGATTCTGGCGACGTCGAGGTCGACGACAACAGCAAGACTGACTCTGATGATGAGAACACCATGGCCGCTGATTCTGACGACGTGGAGGTCGACGACAGCAGCAAGACTGAGTCTGATGACGAGAACACCATGGCCGCCGAGTCTGAAGAAGTCGAGGTCGACGACAACGCCAAGACTGGCTCTGGTGATGAGAACACCATGGTCGCCGAGTCTGAAGATGTGGAGGTCGACGACAACAGCAAGACTGACTCTGGTGATGAGAACACCATGGCCGCCGAGTCTGAAGATGTGGAGGTCGACGACAACGGCAAGACTGACTCTGGTGATGAGAACACCATGGCCGCCGAGTCTGAAGATGTGGAGGTCGACGACAACGGCAAGACTGACTCTGGTGATGAGAACACCATGACCGCCGAGTCTGAAGATGTGGAGGTCGATGACAACAGCAAGACTGACTCTGGTGATGAGAACACCATGGCCGCCGAGTCTGAAGATGTCGAGGTCGACGGAAACACCAAGGACGATTCTGACGACCAGAACACCAAGACCACGGACACTGAAGACGTCGATGTTGACGACAACACCAAGGCCGACGACGTGGAAACTCATCCCGGGCCTGAACAAGACATTTCTGCCCAGGAAGCTGACAAATCTGCTTCACAGAAAGAAAATGAGGGTTTGGTTCTTAACTCGCCTGTCAACCACCAGAGGTATTTTTTATTAACCTTTTCGTTTTAAAGTTGATTGATAACTTGTTTGTTTCTGATTTTCATCGCCTTCTCTTTCTACTCCAAAGCTTTCCATGATTCTTTGTCTGTTTTCCTTCTTGAACTTGAAGTTTGAGAATTCAGTGCTTTCTCTCTCTAGCTGCCTCTCTTTCTCTCTCTTCTTTGATTTAATTTTTAACTTCAACTCGCTAGGGTTTAGCTAGACCAGGGCTTAGAGTTTCCAACTAAAATATAAACATGCTAGATATATGTATACATATTGTTCCTTCCTGGTATGAAATCGTATATCTGAAGTCTTCTAGATCCTGTAATCTTTCAGATTGCTGCTGTGTTTCTGTTTGATGCAGTGATTCAATAATATTGATATTACATTACAATAATAATTAATTATTTCATTGTATCCATATCTGTGTATCTGGGAGAAATTGAGGAGAGAGAAAGAAAGGGTTTTGGCCCCTCTCATCTCCTCTCGTCTCCATGGATGATTAATTATTTGTTTGCAATTAATCCATATATAGTATAAATTAGTACGTACCACTAACCCATGTCTTGCAGCAACAGCAATATGAATCCTAGTGAAGAAGACAAGAAGGATGTGAAGAATGAATCTCCCCCAAAGCCGATGCCACAAGCCGTCACTGCCATGTTTTCTACTGCAGAAGCTGAACACAAGAAGAAAATTGAAGACTTCATTAAGAAGTAAGGGAGATGATCTATATATCATATCACACACACATCCAAAATAACAATAACAAAAATAAAAATAGATCTTTTCTTTGTAGTCATTGCATCTACAATTACGTTGTTAACAATATCTCCTGTCGATAATTGTTGATTATAGGTACAACTTTGATCCAGTGAACGATGAGCCGCTTGAAGGACGCTATGAATGGACTAAAATCTCTCCGTAGATGATTCAAATGTCGCTGCAGTTGAAGGATGATCATGTGTGGCGGCTAGCTAGTAGTAGGGTTTCTAACATTATGGACGACTTTATGCCGCCGTATTACTTATGCTTGCTTTCGTCGTATCATTCGTGCTTTCCTGTTTCGTTTACTTTGTCAAATCAGACTGTGTTCTAAGTGGGTTTTCCAATCAGATTTATAATTCTCTCTCTCTCTCTCTCCCTCTATACATATATATATATATATGTATATATACACCAATCCATCCCGTAATTAAAAGGTGGATTCAAACCAAATATATACTATGCATCCAAGATGGATTCATGGTTTTAAGTATTCAAATTCTGCCAAGTCTACATAGATTTCTTTTTACAAAATATCTTACCCTAACTTGCCTCAGACATGATGACATGGTTACATTAATTTATTAAAATCAAGATGATAGGTTTATACATTTTACTCAGCTACATACTTTGTATTTGTGTCGAGGTCTTTATTTTCCAAATATACATTTTATGCAAGTATATAATTCTATATTTGCATGATTTTTACAGGTTTTTATACTCCAAAATTTTAAGTTGCTTGGCATTGAGGACATAATACACAGCTGGTACTGATGGAAGTATATTGGCAGTGTTTTTGGTGTCAATTGAAGTTGCAGTCCATTATTTGCTTGCTTCTAATTTGAAATTGATTTAAAATAAAGTATTGATTATAATTTTAATTTAAATAGTATTTTTGATATCATAATTTATAAAAAATAATAATAATATATATATTTATTGCCTTCCTGTGACTTGCGAACTAAACTCTCTCCACAATTTTATGTATAGTGTTCCTAATTACTTTGTATTTTTGATTGGGAATTATTTAAAAAAAGTCAAGAAACTATAAGATTAAGAAATTTTGAAAGAGAACAAATGATCTGCAGCAGAAAGAAAAGTAGCCCGTCTCAAGAAAATTAGTCTTTCAATTGTGGTGAATATTCCTTCTCCTTTTTAAGATGAAGATGAGACAAACCAATCAAAAAATGTTGAGCTTCCCTCTAGCCCTTATCATATTCCTTCCGGTGAACTTTGTGGGCTTAATGTAGTTCTAGAGGGTATAATTCGTTTGATCATTGGCTCTCGCTCTCAAAATATACCAGTGAAATATTCTGATTCTACTATTGCTTCTCTTTTGATTCAAAAGTCTAGCTTTGATGGAAATAATTCTGATGTGAAATCAAGTCACAATTTAACTAAGTACTTTAGAGTATATTTAATTATTTAACATATTTCTTGCTCCCAAAATTTAGAGAATATAGGTAGAGATTATTAGAATTTTCATTTCTTTCTTTCTTCTTCTTTTTTTATTTTTTATTTTTATCCAGTTGCTCGTGGGGGTTATAAACACCTCCTCAATCTTATCTTCAAGTCGATGAAGTTTCTTTGTAGTAATAAAACATAACAATACTTTTTTCCCTATTATTTTCTTCTCCTTTCATGTCCTTATCGTTCCTTTATATTTTTTCTTTCTATTTCTCATATTTTATGAATTGAACACCCAACAAAAATGTTATACTCGTTTGGTTTGTGAATAATTTGATTTATTTTGATTCATTCTTGGGTCAAATCCAACAAGTGGTATCAGAGCAAAATTGAGTTCGTCCTGTTGGAGAAGGCTCCTGATGGCGGCGAGAGCATCCCAGTGGCGATAGGGTGACGGTGGCGGGGGAGCAAAATCTCCGGATCAGCGTTTGATTTTCCAAGGATCAGATCTGATTGAACCGAAGGGTGACGGTGGCGGGAGCGAAATCTCCGGCAGGCTGGGGGGGCTTGTCGCCAGCGCTGTGAGAGACGCAGGTGACGTCAGTGTGGCGGCGTTCGGATACCAGTCTAGGCGTGCAGGTTCAGCGGCTGAGGATGGCGGTCTAACGTCGAGCGGGCGTCGCTGGAGGTTGAGCGCGGAGGTGCAGGTGATGGGCTGGAGAAATTGATACTTAGGAATGTGGAAATTTTATTTATTTTTATTATATGACCAGCAGGCAGGGCGTTCGCAGTGCCGGCGGGGCGTCGGAAGAAGGCACTTGCACTGTCGGCCGGACATCCTTGATGTATTTTGGAAAAATAATTAGAGCTTGGTAGGTGACGGCGCAGGAGAACGCCGTCGACAGGGTGCCGGTAGAAGTCGTTTGCACTGCCAGCGGAGTGCTGGCTGAAGACTGCGTTTGGCGGGCAAAAGATGCCGGTGTTCATATAGTCGGCGGGGTTCCGGCGTAGAACGTGGCAGCAGACGTTAGCACTCGCACTGTCGGCAGGCAAGGGTTGAGACATTGTGCTCCCATTATCGGGGTGTCGTCAAGAGGTGCTCACACTATCGGTGGGGTGTCGGCAGAAGCAATAGAAATTAGCGTTCGGACTGCCGGTGGGATGCGGAAAGGAGGCGGTCGCACTGTCGGCAGGATGTCAGCAGACAGAGACAGGAGATACAGCGTTGGCATCGTTAGCAGGGTGTCGGTGTGGGACGCGGTGCTTTCCAAGATCATAATGTAGCCTGGTGTGGCCTAATTTTTCACGGTGTATGCCCAAATATGTTACGTTCAATAATATGTCGATCCCAGTTAATTCGACATACCCACGGGGTCTGGAACTATTTGAACCGACAGAGGGAGGCTGTATATGCGAGAAGGCTCATAGAGCGACATTGATAATGCCGTAGAATTATGGGGAAGTATTATGGAAATAATCCTAACGGAAATCAAGTTACGATTTGGCTAAGTACTTTAGAGTATATTTAATTATTTAGCATATTTCTTGAAAAGGAATCCTCTGTTTAAAATTTATCCAATTTAATCAGTTTAATCAATTATTTTATAACACTTGTTCTTGACTTTTTAATATTTTTTTTAAATAAAAAAATAATTAACTTAATTAAAATTATAATTTTACCCTCCAATCTTTTATTTATTTCTTTCAATTCCTACTAAACACTTCCATCCAAATTTCAATTCCTACTAAACACTAATATCATCGACACTCTAGCCCTAATTTTCTAGACACTCTAGCCCTAATTTTCTTGTGAGGACGCCACCAACCATCTGGCTCAACAAAAAGGCAAGGCAAATGATAATAGATGGTTTCTACTTATCCCACGCACCACTATTCTTTTGGATGGGTACCAAATCCAGGAAGTAACTTGTACTACTGGAATATAAAATTATCCAGGAAGCACGGAAGCCAATTCCCAAAAAGAAGCAAAAAGATTCCACTAAATGAAACACAAAATTGCACCCATCAAACCGCAAAAGCATGCACAATGCCAACAAAAATTAAACTAATAGGCTTCAACCATCCAACAATAAATTGCAACTAAAACCAAACAATTCAAAACCTAAACATGATAGCAGCCGAAAATTTGATAACATCAAACAATCGAAAACAGTGTAAGAATTGAACTTACAAAGCCACCGACAAAGTTGTAAAAGGAGAAAACAATTAGATTCCCTATCTGGGAGGACGACGAAGGCACACAAGAAGACGCGGCAGAGAAAGAGGAGAAAAAGAGAAGGCGATTGAATGGCGGGCAAAAGAGACGAGAGACAGAAATTTAGGAACTCGGATGAAATCGGACAGGGAGACAGACGCCCTGCATTTATTTTCTATTTCTTTCTCTTCCTCTTAACTCTCTCTTATTCTCTTCTCCCTTCATTGATCATCTATTCATCCCCGCGTCTTCTCTTCCCCCTTCATTGATCATCGATTCATCCCGACGACGCCCTGCGCCGCCGCCAAAGCCACCGCCCGCCATTCAACCTTTTTCCTACCCATCATCAACTGCGACACCAGCTATCGGAGTTTGCCCCACCGAAGCCGTCGCTAGAATTAGGGCCGAAAGACAGAAAAATAAATGGAAGTGTTTAGTAGGAATTGAAGGAAATAAATAAAAATTTGAAGAATAAAATTACAATTTTAGTTAAGTTAATTATTTTTTAATTTTAAAAAAATATTAAAAATTCAAAGAATAGGTGTTATAAAATAATTTATTAAACTAATTAAGTTTTAAATAGAGGATCCCTTGCCATATTTTTTGTTCTCAAAGAATATAGATAGCTATTATTAGAATTTTTGGTTAATTAATTAACTTTTTTTTTTTTTTTTTTTTTTATGCAGTAGGCTCGTGAAGTTTACAAATACCTTTTATCTATTTTATCTTCGAGTTGAGAAAGTTTCTCGGTAATAATATAACATAACAGTACTTTTTTCCGTTATTTTCTTCTCCCTTCACGTCCCTATTGTTCCTGTATATTTTTTCTTTCTATTTCTCATATTTTAGGCATGGAACAGACAGTAAAAGTGTTGTGCTGGTTTGGTTGGTGAATAATTTGATTTATTTTGATTCGTTCCTAGGTCAAATCCAACAACCTTCACCAAGGTCAAATTTTCCCCATTTTGGACCTAGAACTCAAGCATGACCAAACAACAATTTAAATCTTGAAGAAAATTAATTAGTGGTGTGAATGTTTATTTAGGATCCTGAATGGTTTTCGTTCTTGTTTTGTCTTGACGGTGTTTTGGTAGTTGTCTTTGTTCTGTTCGCCTAAGCGGTATAAGCTATTTCGAGTATTTGAGCTGGTGGCTCTTGCATGATGTGGGCCTTTTATTTCCTTAGGTATAAATTTCTTAGGTTCGTTCTTTTGTTAATTTTTCACGGAAGGAGATCCTCAGCATCATCGTTCCCTGCCTCACTCTCAGCATCATCACACACACATGTATAGATACATGAGTGTATATCTATAAAGTTTATATACCCATGTATCTATACATGAATGTGTGTGGGGCAGGGAGGGGATGACGCTGAGGATCCCCTCCCGTTTTTCACATTTTTTCTATTCAGTTTTTATTCCCTAGAAAAATATTACATCAAATAATTATTTTTATTTTTTATATTATACTAAAAATTAATTTTACATTCGTCTATTTATATCTCATCAAATAACTATCCGAATTCATTTTTTTACTATTAAA